ACATGTGTGCAGCCCACTTTTGAAAAATTTTAAAGCCCTTCCCCAAGTTCCTAATGCAAATTTATACGACAATCCCATTTACCTCCCCTACACACCCCTCTCCTCCTCCTTTTCCTCTCTGCTCCGCCCGCCTCCCCCTAAACCTTTCCCCGCTCCCTCCCCTACCCCCCCCCCCCGCCTCCCCCCTACAGTCCCTCTCCTCCTCACCGCCTCCCTCCCACGCTGCACCTCCCTTCGCTCCCCCCGCCGGGGGGTTGTGTCGGGTTCTCACATCGCTCTCCCTCCCCGATGCACTCCCTCCTCCTCCTTCGCGTCCCCTTTGCCCTTCCGCTCCTCGCCAGGCGCATCCCGTGAGGATTCGCGTGGGCCCACAGTAATGTTAACTTTTTCTCTGTAAACATGTACTCTTTTATGTAAACATGTTACACTTTTCTAATAACTGTAACTCTTTTCTGTAACATTTACTCTTACAGAAAACAGGTTAAGTTGTAAGATTAAATGTTAGGCTGGTTAGACGTTAACATTGTAGGAGTCTGAAATAGATTACACTGAACACTAGAAGGGGCATGTAATAGTGTTCTTTAAATATTATGCAAAGTGATATAATTGCCAAAGAAAATGGCAAATCTAGATTCCAATCACAGACACAAATGTTTTATAACTGGTTCACCAACCGGTGTAGATCAGTCCCAAGCAAATCCCGCTTGAGATTTTCCACTATGATTTTGAACCTACAAAATCAAAGCAAAACGGACCATTGCAAGACCATGCAGAATGCAACACCAATTGACAAAGACCATGCCAATTGCCACCCAATCTCTAAACCAAGAGATCAACCCTCTCAAACCGAGAGAATCCTTTTTAAGCAACGAACACAATGGGATCTATAAGCTTGAATGTGTAGGAAAGTGCTGCCAGTGGCTTAGGTTCTTTTACTCTCTTGAATATTGTCTATACATCTCTAAGAATGATTAAACCAAGCAATATCAAGAAATCTCTTTTCTAAACACTTAGCATGAAATCTGGAAAATTAGAGAGTGAATATGCACAAATATTTGATCTGCAAGTGTAAAACTTTGGTGCTTGTTTTCTAATTGTTTGAAACTTATTTATGCCTCTGAAAGACATATTGTTAAACCCAATTAACGTCCACAAAAGGCCGTAGTAAACAGTCACTTATTTAAAACCTGAAATCTGACAAAAACTGCTTTTTGTAGTCGGACTACAAGTCATAGTAGTCGACTACACTGAGACCGGAAAAAATACCTTAGGGTCTACAGGACTTGCCTACGAGAAGAGTTCGCACGCCAGTTCTCTGCACGGACCTAAACGCGTAGACGTCGACTGTTACTCAGTCCAGGTTCGCCTAACGTCGACTCCGCAGCATGGAGTCAGGGTCGATTCAGGAGTTGCGGAAATGGTCGCTTCTGGGGGGTCGCTCAACTCGCCTGCCGAGTCGGAGTCGAATCCCGCCAGCAAGCCGCAACAAAAACCGTCAGTACAGCTGGTATCCACTTACCCAGTGCTGAGATGGACTTCTCATCTCTCTCGACCGAGGGAGGAAGAGCGGCGGGACCCAGGACCGTCAAACGGCCGCTCGCAGGTGCGACAACAGCCGAAGGACTGGGGACAGGGTGTCGAATCAACTGAGCATCATTAAATGCGATCACCTCGGCTGTCTGGTCTGGAGGGTGGATCCGCCGGACTCGGCAAGCTGGCTAGACACTCGAGTACTGCTGACACCTATCTTAACCGCCTCTCCTGGCGGACAAGGAGAAAGCATCGTGCCTCAAGCACGGCGGCGTACGCGATAGTACAAGTGATCGGACAGACCTTCATCGATTGCCCGAATTAATAAATGCGGTTCATTAATGCTGGTCAAATCCACTCTGATAGCGTCGTTTGGTTGCTTACATACAAGAATGGGCCTTCGCATCGTAGTGACAGGAATAGAACACAATCCCCGCGAATGACGTTCATGGGTGAGGCGAGGAACGCCGAGACGTCTCTGAGAGGATGTGGTCAATCCACAATTTTTTCCCAAAAAAGGTGGGAGAAATCAAGCCTGTCCTTTCTTTCATTTAAAAACCCTTTCAGCACGAGGAGAGAGGTTCGCAAAACGTGGGAGAAAAAAGAGTTGAGACCAGCTGTGACAGAATCCTTGCATTAAGCACTGCCTGCCTAGTGCCGAGCTCCGATCGCCGACGGGGGGGTACCAAGCAGGACCCGAACTCCATTGCCCGAAGCTTTACTGACGAAAACTGAAGCTCTCAGCACCTCATTCAAAGTGGTCCGAAGGAAGCAGGACTCGAGCCGACCATCGAGCTTGAAAGTTGGGGGGGCTAGAGCATATTGAAAATATAAATTTGGGGCCTTGAAGCAATTTTTCCTTTTTTCAAACCTTTTGTTTTTGTTATGCACTTATTAATCACGTGTTATATATATAATAACACGCATATGCATGTAAGTCTTGTGCTATGAATGAAATGAGCTTTCGAAACGGACACAATGAGCGTGTATTTTGTAGATAGCTGAGATATGTTTTGAGTGGAAATTTTTAAATACATCTGATCCAAATTTAAAAAAGTTATGTTAATGATAGTTATGTACAAAATAATCACAACCATCTACCTAGGTTGATCCAATATATCCTCTTTCACTTTTTTTAACTTAGCTTTCACATAGTTTCACGTTACCATTCTTAAATACTCAAATTACATGATAAAGCCACCCCTATATATCATTCCTTCAACAAATACCACTCGTGACAAATTTCACTCAATTTTTCATTCAATTTTCCATCCAAAAACTTATAGTTTGACAATTTTACTCTTACATAAGTTTAATTTTGTTGGATTTGGGCATAAATTTAATTTTTAATGAACTTTGGATATCAAAATTAAATTCTGTAGTAAATTAATTTCGTCGTCGAAACGAGGGATGTTAAAATTAAGTTTTGTTGTATTTTTTGGGTATCAAAGTAAAGTTTTGTTGAACTTTGAGATATTTTTTGAGCAAAAGAGAACTTTGATGCATCAAAGTGATTTAATGGTATTTTCAGGCAAAAAAAAAAAAAATAAGTATCAAAGTTAAAATCCCCAAACTTCCCTATGTACAAATTAGCAATCAGTTAATGCAGTTAGGAAAAATTCTATTGTAGTAAGATGTTCTTTTTTTAGGGTATTGCTACAGGGACCCTAAAATAGGGGACCCCTGAGGGGACATGTGATGTGTCAGCCCCTGGGGCTTGATGCACTGTTCATGAACAGTGGATCAAGCCCCCAGGGACTGACACATCACCTGTCCTCTATTTTGGGGTCCCTAAGGAGTTTTCCTTTTTTTAATCAATGAAAAACTTTATTCATTCATCAAATAAGCAGTTGAATTACATCAAGATACGTAAACTGAGAAAAACAAGAATACAGAGAGCTCAATAGCTCAGACTAGAGGGTGGAAATATTATAGACTATGTACCCATTGTTCATGTTCAGTAGGGATAGGCTTGTTAAGAACAATAATATTAATAAGCATTGCAATCTTGATTGCTAGGAAGACCTGCTCAATTGTGTGGGCCATAATAGAACCAATCCGATTGAGTGATCAGAAAAGCTTGGGTTTAAGGAATTCAAATTGACTAGAAGTGTATGCATGGATCCATGCATTCCTCATCAACTAATCTAATCCTCTATCTAGCTTTACTCCAAACTCTGGTAGGTTGATCTTGCTTGTTTGTCCACGTGAAAAAACATCCTGTGGTCTTCAATTGAGAGAGATGACATACCTCAACGCGTCTTTGAAAATATTCTGCATCATTACCTGTGATTGAGGATCCCCCAAGTATTTCATTTCCAGATAGAATAGCATTAAAATCACCCATAAGTAACCAAGGGATGTTGACACGATTTTTAAAAGATGTGAGCTCATCCCATAGACTAATCCTTCTTTCTATAGAATTGAAAGCATAAATGAATGAAATATAACAATTAATCCTCCCATCCAGAGATTTAATAAGGCATGTAAGGCAATGATCTGAGGAAGATAAATAGGTGATATCAAGCATGTTAGAGTTCCATAACAGCCAAACTCTTCCATTCCCAGCAGTAGAGGCATTAGAAATCCATTTCCATCCTTTAGCAATTTTGTTAGCAATACATGGCATCTTAGAACGTGTAATTTTTGTTTCAAGAAGAGCAAGAAGTGAAATACGATACTGTTAGATGATTTTTTTTTACTAATTGTTGTTTAGGGGATTTGTTAAATCCCCTAACATTCCAAAAGGCAAAGTTCATAGCTTAGTACCTCCTCTGTCAATGGAAGAGGGGTCTAATTCATTAGTTTGAGATGCAAGGGAAGAAAACTTATTGCTCTGGGTGATATGGGATATTTCCAAGGTCATCTGAGGAATTCTTAGCAAATATTAATTGCTCTGGGTGATATGGTTATTTCCTAAGTTCTTTGGCTTGAATTCATACATAATTTTCTGAGCATAAGATTTTCCATTAGGTCCTTGTATGTCGATACTATCTGGAAGTTCAAAAGGGAGTTTGACTTCAACAAGGACTCTGGCAAAAGTAAGCCTCTGTCTATTATCAGTTGCCTTATCGATGGTGATAGTATTTCCAATAATACTTGCAACCTTACTAATTCCAATAGAATTCCAGAGATTAAGTCTGAACTCAGGCAATTGAATCCACATCTATATACTATTACTAAAAGTTGTTACCCTTCAATTCGCCACTTGGCAAAAATGCCACTTGACAAAAATGGCTCATACCATTTTAAACAACACTTGGCAAACATATCAATTGCTATCTTCTTGCAAGTACCACTTGTCAAGTTTTTACAAAAGTTCTCCATATTAAATTTGAAATAAAAAATAAAAAGTTCTCCTTGAGATTTGAACTAACTCTCCATGCCTTTTCAATTTTCCAAACAAGATGCTTCGTAAACTGTTTGAACGCTTCGTAAATTATTTGTATTTTTTTGCTACATCAATTTTTGTATATTAAACAAATCTGTGCATCGCACGGGCCTAAAACTAGTAGGATATAATACATCCTCGTATTCATATCAATAGACCATGCATGGCTTCAACATTAGAGGTCTAGATCCAAACAACTTAGGGGCCCCCCCTTCAAGAATGCCTCGCATTGCCTCTCCATTTTGAAATTGAAATAAGAATAATCTAGATTTGAGCAGCAAAACTTCAGGAATTGAACTTTTTTTTTCTATAGTTTCTTAGCATAGAATTACATAGCTTAACAATAAGAAGACCAAAAACATAGCCAACTAAGCTATTCTGCCATAAATGACCTCCATCATTCCGTTCATTCTTAGAAAAGGAGACAAAATTAGATTCAGCAGAAGGGGAAACATAATTCAGATTCATGCCAGTGCCTGATTTCTGATTATCAGCAAAAAAGCATTTTCTTCATGATCATCATCACCAGAAATAAGCTTGGATTTATCCAATGAAACTGTGCTGCTATTTGACGAATTCAGAATCGGCGAAAATTAAGCCAAATTTTGACAAGGATTATGCAATGGGGGGGAATTCCTCCCCAATATCACCATTTAGGCATCAGCCCAAGAAACCCTAGATGTGGGCTTAACAACAGGGAAAGGAGACTTACTGAGCTGCCGAACTACTACTAGGGGAATCCATTGTCGAAGTAGACGCCGCCAAGATATCCGCAACGACAATCTTCTTCCTCTCTCCCTTGGATCCAGTACTCCCCATTATCCCCTCTGTTTGGATTGGTTTTTTAGATAGGTAAAAGGGGGGGAAGCTGTCAAAAATGTCAGCTTTTTGACAGCTTTCCCCTAAAATCACCTCTACAAAAGATGATTTTGGGGGAAAGCTGTCAAAAAACTGATATTTTTGACAGATTTCCACTTTTTTACCTATCTAAAAAATCAATCCAAACAGAGAGTTCATCATCAGTAGAGAAATTAGGCTCTAATTGATTAGAAAGAGTCACCAGATTCGATTTAAAACCTCCCACATTGAGATCCAGTGATCTCTTACCACTAATTTTCTTTTTCTTTTTTTCCATGAATTTCTATGCCATGGAGTCATGTTCTCCCTTGGATCCAGTGATGTTCTTTGATAAAGGAACTAATTGAGAGGACGGTGTAGCAAATTAATACACCACGCATGACTTATTTTGCAAAGAAAAATTCTTTAAGGACCCAAAATATGTGACCAATAGAGGGGACAAGTGAGGTGTCCTCCTCTTATTGGATAATGAGTTGGTCATCATTAATGATGACCAACTCATTATCCAATAGAAGGGGGACACATCACTTGTCCCCTTTATTGGTCCCATATTTTGGGTCCCTGTAGCAAAGCTCTTTTGCAAAACGATTTCTTGGCACAAAGAATGAAAAAGGCACGGGCGTGGGCTCCCACGTCCTTGAGCTATGGGGTGTGTGCACACCACGCGTCGACCGTATCAATATCTGGTTTGCGTGGGACCATTTTGACACGTTAGAGTACTGGAACCCCCAAGTACCTTATGTTTTCTAACGTGCGCACACATTGTAAACATGTAATTGAGAACGTTTTGGTTGAGTGGTTTTATAGAAAATGACTGGTAGTGATAGTTTTGTAAATAAAATTTTTCTCGAGATTTTTATAAACTGTGTTTGGTATAATTTTTTTTTTATAAAGTACAGAAAAGTACACCATTTTATAGAAATCAATTTTCGCTCAAAATGAACGGAAATCATCCAGAAATCTAATGCATATATTAAAAAAATAATTAAGTACATCAATACCCTTCCCATGTGATTTCCCATGGGCATTGTTAGTAACCTATTTTCTATAAAATGACATCAAACCAAACAAAAGAAAAAGAAAACAACATATTTTTTAAGAAATTAGAAACTTTTTCATACTTTGAACCAAACAAAGAAATAGCAAAAAACAAGAAATATGGTACTCTTCTTTTGAGTTCTATAAATTTTTCCTACAAATTTTATAGGAATACAATGAAATCAAATTTTTAGTACTTTTCTTTTTCCTCTTTTTTATAGAAATTGAACCAATCAGCCCTAATAAAGGAAGTTTATGAACTATTTCAAAGGCATCAAAAAGCATTATGTTTGCAAAAAAGAATGACACCTACACGCATAAAATTGTGTACGTGTCATATATTATTTTAATAAATTAGAATTCTAATCCATAATTATAATTCTCACCAAATAAAATTTATCCATAGATAGAAATGTTTAATTATAGTAAAATATTTGATAATCCTAACAAAATCATAATTATCCATAATTAAACAATCTAAAAATCGTATCCTCTCCTTTGTATAATAAGGAGAAATTGATGAATTGTTCCAAAGGCACCAAAAAGCATGCAAAAAAAGTGTGAGGTCAACCCCCAACAAAAAAAAAATCATGTGTACATCTATCCTATTAGGAAATGACATGGGTACAATTTATTTTTGTTGGCCTTCTTGTTTTGATGATGTTTAACAAACAATTTACCACTAATGTTGTTTGTCTAGTATTTGTGTTTTAGTATTTATTGTAGACAAACAACGTTGTTGGAGGTTGGATGGATTGCGCTTCAACGATGATATCCAAAGGAGGTTGGCGGAATTGTGGAGTGAAGCAACATGCAATTCATAGTTAAAGATCAAGTTCAAGCTTCATCCGCATGTGTACCAAGTTGAGCTACAATGAAGATCAAGATCAAGCTTGGGTAATCTAGTTTAGATTTTATATTATGTGTGTTAAATACTTCAAGCTCAATTATATACACACATACACATTTCGTTTTGGTTTTGTATATATACAGTTATATATATACATATGTGTTTTTGGTTTAATAATTTTCGAGTTTATATATGAAACAAATGAATAGAATTGGAAAATACTATTTTGTTTCATGTTTATACACCTATATATGATTTCACCTTTAACAAGCTTATATTTAATGAAATCATATTTAGTGTTTTGAATATATTGCATAGAATATGTAATTTTATGAAAATATTGTATTTCTAGGTTATAGACTTCATAACAACATATTATATCTTTTATCAAGTCTATACAATCATTTCATAAGGTTTCAAAATATTGTTTAAGTCAAAATATCAAAATATCAATTTTCAGGTTTTCATGTTTTTGAACATATTTGTAAAATGATGATATTTTTTTAACAAGGGTTTTAGTTTGGTTTAAGTGTGTTTAAAAAGCTTTTAAGCAAATTGAGAGTTTGTTTTGGTGAATCAAATTCCACAAGAGCTTGAGGAGATTATCTATTGAAGTTTGAGCTTCCAACTATCATCCCTCCATCTCTTGTTATCAAATTGAGAAGTTTTCTAAACTCAAACTCTAGCTTTACATTTATATACTTGATTGATTATCATTGTTCTTAAGCTAGATTTAATACTTGAGTTTAGTTGATTTGATCTTATTTACTCATTGTTACACACACACCCACATTGAGCTTATTGTATCTTTCATACATAGTATAGTTGGGTGGTGAGAGATTGTAACTTTGAGTTGTGCTTTCATTGTGTTCTCATCTATTGTAGAGAACAAATTTATATTTGTTACATTGTGAGTGTTGTAAGGTTTTCGGTGAGCTAGACATTGTGAGTGTTGTTAGGTTTTCGGTGAGCTAGAAACCGTAGTGTGTTGTGAAGTTTTCGGTGAACTAGAAACCGAGTGTGAGGAGTGAACGTTGTTCGGTGAGCGTTGAAAACCGACACTGTGTGGTTGTAATTGTGTTAGTGGATTTCTCCCCGGGAGTGGGGAGCGGAGACGTAGGACGGAAGGTCCGAACTCCGTGATCATATAGTGTGTTTGAGTGTGCTTTGGCGTTCATTTATATTCATGCTCATATCTTATATCGCCATTGCCATTAGCTCTTTATTTATATGATCCACTATCTAGTTCATATTGTTTACCATTGTGTTAGTTTTCATATCCTTGCATATAACTCATAATATATTTCATCATATAGGATATATCACTTTGTGTATATTGCTTATTCTTGCTTATAACTCTTGTATATCTATCTTGCAAGAATACAACTTGTTAATTAATTTTAATTGGCATTTAATCGGATTAGATTAGCATAAGACCCTAATCACCCCCCCTCTAGGGTCTAACAATTGGTATCAGAGCTTGGTGCTCTTTGATTTAATGCTAATCTTATTTTGATTGCATTTGTATCTTGCTTACATATTTTTTTACAAATTATGGATATGAATGATGCATCTTGTTTAGGCTATGATTCTAGTATTGCTCCTAAATTCAATGCTTTCTCCTATGCTCAATGGTGTTTTAGATTCAAAATATTTGTTCAATCTAAAAATATCGATTTGTGGAAAATCATTGATTGTGCTTATATTGTGCCCACGTTGGAGAAATCCAAGTGGAGCAAACATGATAAA